CTCAGGGGCCACACTTGGAAGGGAATATTAACAATTTTCTTTTCTTTACAAAACACGACTTTTCCTCTTTCATTCCCTCACTGCATTATTAACTGCATGTTTTCTCTCTTTCCCCTATTATCATATACTAAGATTTGCACTTTTTCTCTCTTCTTGAGTATAGTTTGCTAGTGATGAGGGGGTCTTGGCTGAGCCCTTTGTTTATGCTGGTGTTAACTTTTAGCCCAGTCTTTGCAGAGCCTTCTGGGGCTCGTGGCAAGTGCCCTGCTCGCTGCGATGTCTCCAAGTGCCCAAGCCCTAGTTGCCCCAGTGGCTACGTTCCTGATCATTGCAACTGCTGCCTTATTTGTGCTGCGGGAGAAGGTGATTCCTGTGGCCGCAAGGAGGACCCGCCATGTGGGGACAGCCTGGATTGCAGATACCCCATGGGCAAGCGCTTTGCCAAAGGGGTGTGCCAGTGCAAACTCAGCTACCAGGTGTGCGGTAGTGACAGGAGGACCTACGACAATGTGTGCCAGCTGAAGGCAGTGAGCCGCAAGGCTTTGCAGCAGGGGTTGCCAGCTGTCATCCAGATCCAGAAAGGAGCCTGTGAATCGGGTAAGACCATGCAGGGCACTCCTATGCTGAATACAGCACTCTCAGCCAGGCCCCCTTGGGTGATGTCAGCTTCTCAAAGTGCTCCAGCCAGGAGACTAGGTTTGAAGGAGGAATGCATGTGTGAATGTGAGGCCTTTAACTGCATCGTGTATATGAGTTGTCAAGTTAAGGACACATTTACAATTCAAGTGATCTTAGAGGGCTGAAGTGCTCAAGAGACTGGAATGAGATAGAGAGATCTTATCAGTTCAACTCCTGATCTAGTCAGGCAGTGACTACAGATCTAAGCCAGGGATTCTCAGCCCCGGTGCTATGGGATCCTGGGCTCCCTTGGGATCCTTTTAGGGATGCTGGGGGATGCTGCACAGTGATAGCACTGTTAGGTTTGCAAACACAATTTTCAAGATGAAACTTATGATTTCAAGTAAGAATCTACAGTGGAAAAAAAAATTGGATCTTTTGTGGTCTTTTTGAGTACTTTGCATTAGAACAGTTGGTGTAATGTTTTTCCATAGTCAAAAAGGAATGAAAACTAAGAGCTGGCATTTTTCTGAAGGGCGCCTTGAGTCTAACGAGGTCTGTCTTGAGTCTAAAACAGTTCAAAACCACTGATCTAAGTAGTTTGCAGCTTATGTGAAATGAGCTGGACTGTTCAGGCCTGCCCCAGGTGATAAATATGGCACTCACTAATTGACACTGGTTGACAGGACAGTTCCCTGGACTGAGACCCAGGAGCATTGTGCTTCTGCTGTTAAGGTACTGCATGAACTTGGGCAAGGGTCTTTCTTGCTTGGTTTATACCTGCATGAAATGTGTATAATGCAGTCTCAATTTGAAAAAGCTCTTTGGGATTTGCAGATGAGTGCTATATAGAAATGATCTTAGTATGCTTGCTATTAGTAATTCCAATTACAGGTCAAAGGTGACATGGTCAGTACAGTATAACCCTTTCATCCTTAGAAGTGGTCCCAACAAGTCAGGGTTGAGGCACATTAGTAGGGAAGAATGCCAATGTTTACTCTCCTGCTGCCAGTGCTGCACTTGTTTTATAAAATTAATTTCACTATCCAATTTTTATAGCAAAGTGACACCCACAAGATTCATGAACAGACTGGGACTCCTTTGCCCCAAGTACTGTACAAACAGATCTGAAGACACCACAGTGTTTACAGTCTGGTGCCTTTCACGGTGACTGCATTAAGAAAATTAAGTTTTTTGACCTGGCAGACACCTGTAGAGAGAAAGCACTTGATGTCTGTAACAAAGCAAGAAAGAAATAATCTGGTGCAAGTTTAAATATTGCATTTTTCTGTCTGATTGGAACAATGTACTAGTGTCCCTCTACCATACACTCGAAAGCCCCCACAAGTCAGCGAGCCTTTTGTGTATTGAGGTGCAAGAGAGCAAAGGTACCAGGATACCTTTAGAATGTGATATGGTATTGGGACCTTTACCTGATCTGGCATATTGTAATTTCTGCTAAATTCAAGATTGATTTGCTAATTTCAAAGATTTTTGGAGACAAATTATTGATTTTAATTACAAATAGGAGTTGCTTTACAGGAAGGATCCCTTTTATTGGTGCTGAAGTTAAACACATCTAATAAAAGAGTTACCTGTTTCCGTGTACACTGTTCCAGGAAGCATCCCTGACAACTGCACTATTATGGCTAATGGGATTATAAATCAAATGTCAGGTGAAATGTTAGCAAACCCTCTGTTCATTCAGACAGCAATAGTGTTGTAAAGTCCAGTAAACCGTGAGCAGACAATTCATTGGGAAGGAATATAAAAGGAGTGTTACCTCAACTTTGATAATATTTCCCTAGCTCTTAAAGTGCTTTATAAAGCTGATCAGTACCATCATCCCAAATTTATGGACGGGGTAAACAAGGCACAAAGAAATGAAGAAATGTGTCCAAAGTGTCACTTGGCAGAAATGAATGCTGAAACTAGAAGACAATTTCCCATCCATTGCACTTTCCTCTGATTCCTTCTGCCTCTCTTTGATTTTGTAGCTGTAAAGGGCTTTTGTCTGCTCATCTGAACACATAAAGCTATTAGCTTTGGCACTTTTAACATTTGGTTGGAACTCATTCACTTAGAAACATATTTATCTGAAATTCTCATGCTATACTTTATCTAAGGGCTTATAGAATGATTTATTTTCAGTGCATATGGCATTTTCGTCATGAAATCCTCCTGAGTTTACTGTAATATGCTTAGGAATTTGGAGCAGTGGGATAGAGGTTGCATTTTTTCAAGTAACGATTTGTGTTCATTTTGTTTTGGCTTATTTTTTGACCCAGGAAACCTCAGCTCAGATGTAGCATCTGGTTTTCTGTGAAGTTCTGATGTTTTACTGAATTCTACAGCTGCGCAAACTGAACCTCAAAGAGACCAAGTGTCTTGCCCAAGGTCAGACTGAGGCAATACTGGAGTCGGAAATAGAACTCAATTATAGTACTTCTTAAAACAATAACATGCAATGGCTGTAATAAGAGGTTTTAAAAGAGAAGTGACTGTTTTAAATTACTGTCACGTTTTCACATTTTCCCTATTTGTGCAGGGATTTGAGCTGCAGGCAACTCAGAAGTTGGAGACCTGGTTCTACTTATCAAGTGGATCCACTTTTACCCCACCATGGTCTGGGACAGCCATTGCATAAAACAGTTTGACCCAAATCAGTTAAGTTGGATACTACATTCAACCAGATTTAGCTCAAACTGGTTTCAGCCATTTTCAAGCTGATTTATGTGCACTAAACATCAGTTCTGTTACAGGTTTAAACCAGTGCCTGATCACTTAAACTGGTTGATGTGTAATATCTGTCCCTAGCCCATGTGTACATAGAAAGTATCCAAACTGATGATAGCTCTCCCGTGTGACAGGCCTTATTTACAGGGCACACCAGCCTGTTGCTCCTTTGCATTTTGAGAGGTCTGAGTTGTGCAGGTGAGGTTAGGCTCTGACTCTAGGAAGCTGAGGTAGGCACAGCAACACGAATTCCACTTTCTAGCCACATTAAGGCTGTAGGAAATGCAGCTCTATAAAAATAGAAGAGGTAGGAAGGAAACCTTGAGAGGAAAAAACATCACCCACTTAGTTTTTCTGGGTGCCTCCCTTTTTTGTGGGCCAGTTTTCTTCCCTTCTAACACTGGAAAGTAACATGAAGGGCAGCACAAACTCTTATACATGGGTGAGCCAAATCCAAAAAGAACTGGCACATGATGAAAGGAAGGGAAGTGGGGGGTGTACATATACCATTATAACATTACTAACTGCCCTGAAAACCCTTACACACATAAGTAGCTTAATGTATGCAAGTATCTCCATTGACATCTTTGGAACCACTTGCAGGACCTGCAATCAGGATTATCACCCGAGATCATTCTATAACAAGTCATTTGTTACTGACTTGGTACAATACAAATTATTTTTTCCCCCCTTAGCAAATTAGGTCTTGGTGTAGTAGTTAATTTTTAAGAAGCCATGTTCTGGCAGATTTCCTATCATGAATGGAAAAATACGAGCAGTTAGTTTTTCTGACTGCCTAATGTGTAGCTTGATGCTTTGTGGGAAATAGATACTCCTAGAACCCTCTTCTCCCTGCTTACCAAGCCTGTCTATAGTTAAATTTAAATGGTTGTGCCTCCCATTAAAATCAGTCAGGCCAGATACCTGACGAAGGATTTGTAAGATTAGACTTCAGTTTGGTTTACCTATCCTCTTTTTTTTTTTTTGTACTTCTCATACCAGTCTTTTTTAGTTTAATCCATTGCCACTCGAAATGTATTTCATAGAGCTCCTAGGAGTTTGACTTCTTGACAGTGTATTCCCATTGAAGCCATGATCCCCTCCAACATCAGCATCACATTTGGGTTTTGTCTAAACAGTCCTGATGTCAGAAAAGGATTAGGATTTCATGATCTGTGGAAAAGTAGTATACAGTGGGTATATTTATGAAAGACCTTACTATTACGGGAATACATTTAGTGGCACAAATGCAAGTAAGAAAATCACAGAACATAAGCAGTAGCCTAAGCAAGCAGAACTACTATTAAACTAATAAATGACAAAGCTCCATATAAACAGATAACGTTGCAAGAGTTGCCTACAAGGCCAAGTAGTTCTTTAAAGGCTTGATTTAGAAGCCACTGCAAGACGAGTCCCATTTACTTCAATGAGACCCTAAGGTCCTGCTTCTGCAAAGATCACACCACAGGGGTTACTGTGCTACAAATGATCTGACTGAAGTCTCTGGCAAAGGCTGCCCATGACATGATTACTCCCGTGAGTCAATCTTTGCAGGATCAGAGTTGATTAGAGCGCTGAAACACTTGAAAAAATGGCAATAAAAAATAAACTACAAAGGTATCCAGTGCTGCTCTTCCTGGGTTAGAGAGATTTACCAACTGCTTATAGATGTGCAGAATTGGGAGGGTGAAAATGGATAACTGACCATATAATTCAATAGATTTCTGGGAAGTTAGACCATGTGAGACAAGTACTAACTTTTTTTTATTTGTAATGGTGTCGTGAGAGCCTCTAAACTACCTTTCCTGTATATTTTAGTTAGGGGAGCCCATTGCAAAGTACTGGCTGGAAACATAAGCTGTAAGTCTAGGGCACATTCCTTTTCTGGTTGTTTTCCTTTAGTCTGAGACAGTTTTAAAACATTTGTTTTGAAGTCTTGTGGGTGAGAAGCGTAAATATTGTTTAGTGACAAAGGGAATATTTAGAAAATAACACTTTACTTTGGAATAAAACTTCTAATGAAAAAGAGGCCTATTGATGATTTTCGCATTGTTCCTGAAAGGGGAATAAATATTAATAAAGAATGAAGTTCTCGCTTTCTGAATCCAGTTAGCCAGCAAGCTCTCTTTCCTAGAAGGGATGTGCTAATCCATCCTTACTCTGCCCTCGTAAATGCTGTTATCACAGCTATAGAGTGACAAAGCCCATATCAGTGCATATATACCCAGCTATTTTCCTTTGTG